CAGTAGAGGCGCACGTAGAAGTAGCCGTAGCCGTTGAAGTCATCCGGACCTGTCTTCTTCCAAGGCCCGAAATAAAGAATGAACCAGCGCTGAATCTACGGCAGCAACTACGATACCCGGCCTTTGAAGACGTGGAGATTACCCACCGCGTGGATGACGATGAAGAGAATCAGCAAGATGGCACTGCGGGTCAGACCCAAGCGGTCGTTGGAGATCTTGATGTTCTTTGCAGAGAAGATGGTGGCGCACACTTCCTAAGATAGTGGCACGGGTAGTACTTACCATACCGTGCTGTCTTCCAAGTTTCAGGCGAGTAGAACGCGTGATGTTTCACGCCAATGCAGCTGCGGCGCGTACAGCACCGAGAGCAGCAGGAACCAAGTGGCGTTGAAGTAGGACTTCACGTTGATCAGGAGGACACCTGCACCAGCCAAGCAGCAGAACATCCACGCACAGCCCAACAGGCTACGCGTAAAATTACAACTTTTCCAGTCATGTTTGTCTGCAATAGTAAGCAATATGATTACGGGCACTCCATCAGGAGCAGATGCGCCTGGGTTCTCGTCGAGATCCACGCGCCAGTTCGGCGCCCCGTCCAGGTGACCCCAAGCCGCGTGGTTGCCGAGCTTGCTGCCGGTGTCCTTCCTGAAAGGGGAGTTGATCTGCGGCTTGGAGGTTTAAGGGTTCAAGAAGGCGGTCCTCCGACCCCCCCAACCCCCTCCCCCCCCGCCTGATGGGCCCGCCGCCGCCAGCCTTAGGAGCGGCGCTGGCAGCGGCTGCCACGCCGGAGCCGACGGCGCCGATCACGGAGTCCGGGGCGTACTTGCCGATGACGTCCGGGGGATGGATCCTCGGCAAATGGAGACAGTCGTACAAACCTCTGCACATTTTCGACACTCCATACAGCATCCGAGGGGCATGTTGAACTCCTCCGTGGCGTCCTTTCCGGCGAAGGTGAGGATGGCCAGCTCGCCACCGGGGTGATCCGACAAGAAGCTGGTGACGTCCAGCACCTGACCGTCGACCACCACCCAGCAGTCCGACTTGCTGTTGTGCTTGGCCACCTCGGTCATGGGGATTCCTCCACCGCCGCCGCCACCTCCGCCGGCAGCAGCAACTGCGCCACCCCCGCCGCCGCCGCCGCCGATCATACCAATGACGGAGTCAGGAGCATACTTGCCAATCACATCCGGAGGGTGGATCCTTCAACGAATTCCATGCACAGTACAACATAAAGACTATGGCTACACAGTACTGTAGTACTTACTGTCGACATCACATCTGCATCCAAGCGTCATGTTGAACTCCTCCGTGGCATCCTTACCGGCGAAGGTGAGGATAGCCAGCTCGCCACCGGGGTGCTCCGACAAGAAGCTGGTGACGTCAAGCACCTGACCATCGACCACCACCCAGCAGTCCGTCTTGGTGTTGTGCTTGGCAACGTCTGCCAGGGTCATGCCTCCGCCACCACCGCCGCCAGCCGCGGGCGCAGCTGCAGCGGCCGCCGGTGCAGCAGAGTTCATCTTGTCCTCGTAGGAGCCGCCAGCCAGCTTGGAGCTCTGCACCGCGCCAGTCAGCCCGCCGCCGGTGATCGCGCAGAGGTCCACATCCTTCATGTCGGCGCCCAACATGTACTTGGCAGCTGCCTTACCGGCCACGCGGCCGAACACCACGCAGTCCAGCAGGGAGTTGCCTCCCAAGCGGTTGTTGCCGTGCACTCCGCCCGCCACCTCGCCGGCAGCGTACAAGCCCGGGACTGGCAGGTTGTTGGAGCCGATGCATGCAGAGTCGGTGTCAATGAGGAGGCCGCCCATGCAGTAGTGGATCACGGGCGTGATGATGGCAACGTAGAAGGGCTCGTTCTTCACGGCATCGCCAGGGATGATATTGTGGAAGAACTTCTTGCCGCTGCCCGTCTTGCCACTGGCCTGGCATGCTGTTAAGCACAGTCTAAAGTCCAGTCTACTCTCAGCTGAAGTTGCTGCAGGGACAGAAGCAGCAGCTAT